AAGGAAGCTATTAAACCAAGAGTTCCAAATGGTGAAGTTGAGGTCATCCCTTCGTAAATTTTACGGACACCATCACGAGTTGGTTGACCGTTATGGAATAACCGTTTCACAGATGATATCGGATATGTTCCTTATGTCGTAACTACAATACCCTCCCTTTTCGCGAATGTGACTTACCGAATTAGACTATTTACCGGATTTGTAATAACATAAGCAACACGACGGGTGCCACATGTGGAGCAGGATCTGCTTACCTTTCCGGAGCACCTGAGATTACCCCCAGTTTTTGGTGGGGTTCGTGTTGCTTAGTCTTTAGTTTTCTATGTTGTGTCATCTGTACTATTATTTGTCTGTTTGTCTTTTTATTTTTGGCCATGGCGTTGTCAGTTTGTTTTCGATCTATGAGTTTGACTGTCCCTCTGGTATCTTTCGTCCCTCTTTTAAGAACTTTTTGGATCTGTCGCATATATTCTTTCTATCGGTCGATGCTTTGAAGTTTTCAATGCTTTAATATTTTCGTCACACATTTCCCAAATACTACTGAACAATATGAGTTCATGTTTGGTCAAGAGCTCAACAGTTAAGATTTATAATATGTATGCGTTCTTTCTGTTTTTCGATACTTAGAATTACGAGAAGAACAGCAACCAAACGACAAAAATATCAAATGACATATAGAGGTAAAGACACAGTCTTCGACAATAGGCAGGTGTATACACATTAGTTTCTTGACACAAGTTTTTCATCAATAAGAATTTCATCTGATACAAACAGGTATGATCATTGTTGCGTCTTTTATTTTTATGCAATTGAATTTGATGCTTATATTTTGAATAGTAAGTACTACATAAGCACAGCAATTGAATTTGATGCTTACATTTTGAATAGCAAGTACTATATAAGCGCAGCAACGATGTGCATTAAAGAAATTAAATATATATAAGCATATTCATCAAAATTACATACATTCATAGATTAATCCATTTAAAAATATGTAAAAAATCCTTTCGGCAAGAATTTATTTGCATGAATACATAGCTATTTAAAACCAACAATTTTATTTGTTATCATATAAAAATATCTAGGATTTTCAGTGTTGCTACAGTTTATTTCCGTAAACATTTTATGAAACTTAACCCTATTATACAATAAATTATCTCGAGGAAATAATCAAAGGAAGGTTAGATATATGTATATTTTGTTTCAGTTTTTGAGAAATATACTTTTTCAATACTTATATAGAAGAGTTATCATTTATCAGCAAAAAGCTCAGATTTTGGCAATTCAACCAGAAAATGACAAGATAGTACAGCGGTTCATATTGTTTCATTTTGGATGACAGAAAAATAGACACAATTATGATTTAATTCCAAATCCATAACTACAAAACATCTTCTGAAAGTGTTACTGCATCTGGAAGATTTGAGATAATGACACTTTTCCTGTTTTATCAAAACTAATTGCTACAAACAGAACAAGAGAAAAGAGAAAATATTTATTTTATTACTTTTATGTAAATCAGATGTTATCGTCTAATATCTTCGGGGCTGACGCCCATCAGATATGAGAAGTTCACATCTAATACATATAAAACGATATTAGAATGTGCCTTTGCATGTTTTTTTCTGTTTTTTTTTTTTAAATTTTGATAAATAGAAACGGACCATATTCCTTAATATGTATGCACAAACAAGAGGAGGTTTTATCAACTATTAAACTAGGTTCAACTTAATATTTTCATCGGAAAATGCCTGTTCCAAGTCATATGACCATTGTTTTCCATTCGTTCCGTTCGTTGATAAAGTCTCACGTTTAATTTGGTCAGTTTTTATGGAATTTTCTTTTTTTTAATTTTACATGGCCTAGTATAATATATAACAGTTTTCTGTATAATCAAAAAGAAATATTCTCTACGTTTTGTCATTTCAGATCAAATATATCTGTCCTATACACAAATTGCTAACTCTTTAATTGCATTTTCCCGCTAAGGCGATTTCGTATGAATATCTTCGTTCTTAGAATGGTTCTGTATATTTTAAAAGAATTATAAGGATTCTATTTGTTACTTTTCATGAAATAAGACACTCTGACATATTTTTTAAATTATCCGTTGTCATCTGCATTTAATGACATGCAAAGAGTTTGTATATTGGACTTAGTTTTATGTTAGGAAAACTATGACTAGTCATCATTACAATATATTTTTTGCTGACAAAATTTTGATTTCTGCTTATTTATTGAATCGCAAAATGTGATCTCACAAATTTTAGTTTAGTTTTATTAAAGAAATTTCTGCAGAAAATTTAGATTAAAATACAAGAATGGTTGGTTCATGTTAATTATGCATGGATTATTATGTACTACATACTTTCCCTGTAGAGGAAATTAAAAAAAACCAGAATAACGGAAACAATTCTGGCTGTGCTACGCTGATGAGTAGACTCAAATGTGTAACATGGTAGAGCGCTAGGTATTAAACAGCAGAGATAAATATTCACTTACCCGTACCACTTGAGTAAACCAGTCTTTTCCCACTGTGCTGAATGTGGAATGCTTAGTAGAGAACAGAAACAACGTTTTGAACCGACTGTGATTTACATCGATGATCTTTCACACTCTAGGCAAAGGTGGTACTAGGAGGAAATCAAAGCGATATATTTGTTTCTTTTATAGACAATATACATATTGACGGCAATTTTGATGCAACTTACAAATTCTTAAAGTTGTGTATTGAATGTACTTTTGTACCAAAATAAAATCAGTTCTTTCATTTTGGGTTAGGAATGCCCTCTTTATTCATAAGAACAATAAATTCGCGTCGTTTGTCAGTTGTATCAGAATTGTCATTTTGAACTATCTATTAAAGAGAGAAAATACCATTTGAATACTCAATCTCATTTGTCGAAAACGAAATAACACTGCCATGGCAAAAAACGAAAATCGACCAAGAGACAAACAGCAGTCTACAATAAACAACATAGAAAACTAAAGACGTAAAAGCAACAAAAACCACATCCAAACCGGGGTTGGTCTGAGGTGCTCCGGAAGGGTAAGCAGATCCTGCTCGACATGTTGCACCCATTCGTGTTGGTTATGTAAGTACAATTTTGGCGATAAATCTAATTTAAGATGTCACGTTCGAAGAACAGATGAATGGATTGTGGTCATCACAATTGGAACGTATTTATAGCCATCTGTGAATAAGATATTCCACAACAGTCAACCAACCCATGGTGGCGTTCATAAAATTTTCGAATTGATGACCTCAACCTAACCTTATGGAATCCTTGGTGTAATAGCAGCAGCCCTCTATTTAGTAAAAAATGATAGGACATGCATACTCTATATACAGGCGCTTCTGGAATGTTACTACATAGAAATGAAAAGTTCACAATTGAAAAAAAAGGAAATCATCTAAATCTATAAACATTTTTAAACCCCAAAGTTATAAATACAGCTTTGATCTGTACATTTTAATATTTTTAAGCACTTTTGACAGTGACAATTAAGTCAAAGAAATCGAAAGAAACTATTTTTGAACTTTCCGGTTACGATCAATTATTTCAATATCAGCTCAGATACACTGTACAAAAAACTGCGAATTTTCTACAGTTATGTGTTCAACTTTATTATTTTCACATAATAATTGAAAACATTTAATCAAGCTTTTTCAATTTGTCAGCGTCGAGGAAAATTGTATCTTGCAAAAGTCATACTATAAAAATGGGTATTGATTGTAACATAATTACCATTATATAGCATAGCATTCCAACTATTATTGGAAAAAAATGAATAAATACATAAAGATTATTTTCACGAGAGATGTTATCCATATAGACAAATATCAAAGTAGATTATGCATGTCCAAAATTAGTTGGAGATTGACCAATGTCTCAGCATTTTTCTCAAAAGAACCGCATTTAATTGCCTTTTACATGACGTCCTAACTGAATATTTTATGACGTCATCGATCATAAACTACCTGTATTTGATTTTGTAGTATTTAATCTTAAGAAAAGACATAATTGGAAATCCTGAGTTGAAAATAATCCAGTGAAAATATGGACGCCCTGTGCTTTTCATTGCGCGTTACACGTGTGTTTCGGGAACATCGCCTTTATTAAGTACGACAATCAATGCATGTTCGTTTGGGTCCCTTTAAAAGCAAAAGAACCTAAATGATTCATCCAATAGGGTAGTGTAAAAATTGCTTGATGGATTTACAAAACTATAAATTTATAAAAATAAGAAGATGTGGTATGATTGCCAATGAAACAACTCTCCACAAGAGACCAAATTGACACAGATATTAACAACTATAGGTCACCGTACGGCCTTCAACAATGAGTAAAACCCATACCGCATAGTCAGCTATAAAAGGCCCCGAAATGACAAATGTAAAACAAACGAGAAAACTAACGGCCTGATTTATCTACAAAATAATGAACAAAAAACAGATATGATATACAGCAACAAACGACAACCACTGAATTACAGGCTCCTGACTTGGGACAGGTACATATAGAATGTGGCGGGTTAAACTAGTTTGCTGGCTCCAACCCTCATCTAAGCTTGGACAGTGGTGCAACGGCACAACACAAGAACAAACTATACAAAACAATAAACGAAAAACAAATATAAGAAACAGCAATAAACAACAACCACTAAATTACAGGCTCCTGACTTGGGACAGGCACATATAGAATGTGGCGGGGTTAAACTATTTTGAAGGGTCCAACCTCCCCCACCCCCCCCCCCCCATCCCCCTCCCCCAACTCCCCTAACCTGGGACAGTGGTGTAACAGTACAACATAAGAACAATCTATAAAAATCAGTTGAAAAGGGCTTAACTCATCAGATAGGTACAAAGCAGAAATATATCTAACAAAAACACAGAGTGGACGTGGCAGGGTACTTATACATCCCCACAACAAAAAGACACTAAGAACACTAAAAAAATGTTTTGGAATGTAATATTTAAATCCAAATAATGATCAGCTGTCATATTCTCTTTTAGGAATATAGTTTGAGTAAAGCTCGAGAATTAACGTAATATTATAACAATGAACCAGGACGAAGAAAACCTATGCAAACTTGTATTGCTTATTGTAAATATTGCAATGAACGTTATACGACAAATCATTAGTTGTAAATTGCTAAAAAGTGAAGAAAACTTTATATTCTATTTGAAAAGTAACATGCATATGTTGTTCCATGCTTGGCATAACAGCAAAAAATGTTGCAAATGCTCAAATGATGAAAATAACAATTCGGAAAGCATGCTTACAGGTGACCAGTTCCGTCTAATGTTTAATACAGGCATGCAAATGAATAAAGAACATACACATGTGAAAAATAACAAAATATATTGTTTTAACAAGATATCAGTTCGGGAAGATGCTTCCCTCGAGAATCTAGATTTGACATTAGCTAACTGTCTCCTTATTTGTACATGTACACCTGAAAGAGTAAAGGATAATGTTGAAAGGTCATCTATTTTGGACTGGACGAAAAACATAAAAGATTCCCGCAATGAGATATTTCATTTAGCAAATTCCAAATGTTTACCTACTGAGGAGTTCAAGCGTAAATGGACAAAAATTGAGGGAGCTGTTTATGGACTTGCAAGGCTAGTAGGCAGTCAATACAGTGACCAAATTAAAGAAGAACTTAAGACTTTAAAAGCCAAAAATGTGACAAATTGTCAAAACGAACTAAAAGAAATATTAATTCAGTGCAAACAAGACATAAACCTACTTATTCATGTAAGTATTGTAAACTTTGATGAAGTCGTTTATATGAAAAGAAGAAAGTTAGAGTTGTAGCTGCGTCAAATCTTGAATTACTTCTAGAAATTAACAGTGACGGTTAGTCGAGAACAAAACATTGTACGACAACAAAGATGATAATTTCAATTTCTTCAGTATGAACCTTTAATTTCAATTAACCAATATTTTATCAGCACCTGCATGTGGAGCATGTTTCAAAAGTTTATACGATATTCTAGGGCTTGCGTTTCCTGTTATGTTTTGTGTTGTCTTTCTTAAATCTTTAGTTTTTATTACCCATTTGCGTGGTCTCTCCTTTTTTTATCTCACCTAACCCGAAGGGCCAGTGTGAGTTTTTCCAATCACTTGGCGTCTGTCGTCCGTTAACTTTTACAAAGATCATCTCCCCTGAAACTACTGGACCAAATTTAATTAAACTTGGCCACAATCATCAATGGAATATATAGTTTAAAAAATATGACCGCGCCTAAAAATAGAACATAGGGGTAAAATGCAATTTTTGTCTATTATTTTGAAAACCGCTCTAAATAGAAAAAATCTGAAAGGGGTGGGGGGCAGAAAGGTCTATATAATATCTAGTGACATCAAAACTGTCAGGCGACTTTTTATAGGAGTAATTGCTCTTGAACAATGAATTTTCCATTTTTTTTCATTTTTACCTATTATCTCGACAAATATGATAGATAGACAGAAACTTGTGAAAAGCAAAAATGATCCGCAAGACCAAATCTACAAATAAGTTAACATTATCAATAAAACATAGTTTTGTTATTTACACAAAACATAAAAGTGCAATATCATCATGCACATTCAAGGATAAAAATTGATACATACGATATAAAATACTATTTCGTCGCAATAAATATTATGGCAGGTTTTGGCAACAGAACTACAAACATTTTCATTTCTGAATAAAAATATAAATTTTTCATCATCTGATAAAGTTAAAAACATATTATTATATTGATGAATTATATCAATAAATAAAAACTGTCTTAGATCTTCATATAATAGACAATACATGTTTTTCATCTTCTATATTATCACAATTGAAGCAAATTCAATCTTTTGTCTAAATCTGATCTTTCGTAACGACCAGTTTCAATTTTTAAAGGTGCTACTCCACAACTTAATTTAGCATATGCACTGCGATATCGAGTAGGTATATTTTGTAACAAATATTGTTCAGTAGAGTATGAAAATTTAAACAATTCATAAGTTCTCGACTTATTTCCTTGACCATTTATAATTATACTTTACATCCTAAATCCTGTATATCACCTATATCAATTTTCTCAAATTCATTTTTACATATCTCGTAGTTTTTACCTTGTTTTCTTTTAAAAACAATTACAGAAATCAACCCCAACTGAAGTACAAATGACTCTCAATGAACTTAGACCTTATAGAAGCCATTAATATTAGTATTTTAAAAACATTTTGAAAGTTCATATCAATGACATTCAATATAAGTGGCAATTTAACTTTGGCCTTGTGAAGATATGATACAATCCAATTAATCAAACTAATGTTTGCTCATTGGTATAAACGATAGCGGTATATTCTTTTGTTGTTCAACGTCACCTTATTTCTCAACTCTTCTTTATGTGATGAAAACATATATATGCAACAGTAAAAAACATAGGTTAATTGATATTCAAAACAGGTAATTTAAGAGAAATGAATTCCGAATTCTGGCGCTATTGATGTCTTTTAAAGATAAAAAGTGGCGCAAATTATATATTTCAAAATTGGATTTATAGCAGAAAGACTATACTCTTTTTTGTCCTTAGATACTTTTATAAGTTACATGCTGTTTTTAGATAACCTCAATCTATTTCATGTACACATTTTGACAGTAAAATATCATGCTTAAAAATGACAATATTCATACAATAACATAATGATATAATTTTACAACTTATTTTATATTTTGCTTCTGAACATACTTGATCAAATATATTTTTATACATAGCAACAATATGAGAAAAGTTTTAATGACAAGTTTAAGAGAGTTGGCATCAACAAACTAAAGGATATAAGACAACAATGGACAACGATACACAAACGAGGTAACATTTAAATAAAACACATTGATGAAAATTGACAGTTTCTTATAATGCACCTTACTAAACATGCTGAAGAGATCAAACTAAAAAAGGTGAAACAAGTTTTTTTATTGTATGCGTATCGCATTGTCTTTGTAAACGAACCGCTATGGGTCTTGGTAGTGTGACATGTCTTCCTGCGGATCGTTACCCTATGCTCAGAGATCTTTTGAACTAACGATTTAAAAATCTTGCACAGCTTGTCGGCTCAGTACAAATCAGGGTTCATTATTAAACAACATTAGCATATTCGTGTCCTAAATGTGCATTTAATTTGCCACTGGAGGTTAAACAGCCCCCATCGTCATCTTTGTTAATGTTAAACAATGTTTGTAACAAAATGTTGAAAATTATCATGAAATTTATGTTGGTGATGACTGTTCATGATGAATAACAAATGAGACATTGAAGCGTAGATAAAAATAAAGAGTCATGGTGTGATCTGCAATGAGACAACCGGCAAGTAAAAAAATTTAAGTTATCCCTACTTTTTTCATAAATAAAGCAACACAAGAAACCTACGTCACGAAAAACCGGAAAGTGTTCATTTGCAGGTATCATTACAGTCTTTAAAACGTGCGTCTTACCTAACTAATCTTAAATCTGATATAGTTGTTGAGTTTTTACAACCGCTGGATCGATGATGCTGCTGGTGGACATTTCGTCCCCGATATTGACGCCAGGCAAACAGTTTGCATTCTTTGCTTACATAAAATATCGTTCAGAAAATGTGAACAAAATTCGAAATACTAATGTTTTGTTTTTTTTACATTAAACCTAAACGAGATTTAGCAAAAACTTCTGGAATAAAATTTTGTAATGGTAGGTATTCTTAAATGACCATTCGTTATTGATTTTACCTTCGAAATGACAAGATTCGAGTTGCATTTGAAAGGTTTCAAGTTTAGAACAGGTGCATCATAAATGTTCAATTAAAAACCTGGTATCTCTTAATACGTGTTTGTTTCAATATGAACGTATGTGAGACAACTAGCATGAACAAAACTGTTCGTCAAATGTAATCAATACCACATCAATCTCGTGGGATGTTTTTTTTAACAGCAAAAAAATGAAAATAAAAATAAATGAAAGAAAGAAAAGTAAATATAAAAAAAACACAGCCTTTAACCCACAAAAAAAACTGCAAAAAAGACGCATTGGCTTTGAGCGTTCCTGGTGAAGATGAATAAAAAAGCGCGTCGAACGCTTAAAAGTGTTGTTTTCATGTTTACTGCTTTTCAGTTTCAAACACTGACTATTAAACTACTGAAAGTATACTTACATACTATAGCCTTATATAGATGTTTCTACCATCGTTGTCTACGTTAGGTTCATAAGGCTGAATAATAAAAAAAAACTATGATATCTAGTTTGTATTGATCATTTTAGAGTGCAAATTTTATAGCAATTTTTAAACATGTAAAACGATTGAAACATTATATGTTATCATTTCAGAACAAATCTGTGCTAAGGCAGGTGGAATCAAAATCAACATTGTAGACACATCATACATAAAGGAAGATGTTGTTAAAGGTTATAATGATCCAAGTCCTAAAGTTGATATAATATGGTTCTGTTATCTCAATTTTCAATAATGTCTGTGAAAAGTAATAAAACATATGTTGTGTTACAAACTCATATTATGGAGACACAATATGCTATTCCAAGAACTTTTCGTACAGTACTTACTTTGTATATTGCAAATACTTACTAAACATAATTTCATTCTTCGTTTAACTATACTTGTTAGCAGTCGCATACCAAAAACCACATTCTCGATGAATTTTTCGTTTCTCTGAAAGGCCCCTTAAATTCAAGATATGTGGTGAATAAGGTTATATTTCAATGTATTTTGTTTCTTCTATATACATTTTTTCTAATTTGCACAGAAAACAAATCAGTAGAAGTACTTTTACGCGTCCAGACCCCTGAAGAATGGGATGAGGATATCATAATCGAGTCCATACGACGTATGTGTGATGAAATAAATAAAGGTGGAAACATTATAATTAAGGAGACAACCCTTGAACAATTTATGCTAGTAGTTGAAATGTTGATTGACACACTAAAAACACAGCAAAATTTGAAAGATGAAATTGAAATGTTTTTCCGGAAAATATTTGAACAGTGCAATATTGATACCAGCCAGTCGGACACAGTTTACGTTTCTATTGAATCCATTACTGAAATACAAAGTAAGTTTTCGAAATAGAAAGATGTAACAAATATGTTATCACGACTATTGTAACGTAATATGTATTTAGAGGGTGAAGGTAAATCATGTTGAAAATGAAACGGACTCTTCTTCAATAATATTTGAGGTAAACAAAAAAACAAGACAACATGACTAGTACTTTCGCACTTTAAAGTAAAAGTTCACAAATGACCATCGATATTGCTCTCTTATATAGCCACAATCCCATTATCTTTTTGTTGTTTAAATATTTTTGGATTTTTGACATGACATTAGTAACTGAGTATGAACTATTTACCCTAAATAACGCCGAATTCCTGTTGCCCAATAACTTCTCTCTTTTTGTGAACGGTGTCCGTCACTCCACTTTGGAGTCACCCTTTGGTAAATGAATGATAAAAAACGTGAAAAAAATGTTGTCGAAACATCAAAGTACACATATCAAGCTCCGTTACTGATTTAAAAAGACATCCCAAAAACTACTACTCTTGTTAAATAATCACAAGATAAAAAGACACTGTTCATGTATGAAGAATATTGGCTAAAGTAATCTTTGTTATTTTTTTTATTTCCTGTAGAATATATGTAGTTTTAATAACAAAGCTTAGCTTTAATTACAGGTCCCGTTCCATCTGATGTTGAACTAGTTTTAATGAAGAACTTGGCAGTTCAAAAAAGAAAAGACGCATTCTTTACCAGTTGTGCAGTATGGTCGGACAATCATTATATTTTCATTGATAGCAATAATATGTGCCTTATTGTGTCCAATCACAAAACTGGTGATACTGAGGAAATTGAACTGAGAAACAAGCCATTTAGTATGGCGATTATTGATAGCAACAACGTAGCTATTTCTTTCCCAGAAAAGCAGGAAATCGCCATTCTCAATTTAAGCGCTATTGGCAAACATGGACCGACAAAGTTTAAAAAGGTTAATGGTAAATGTTATACACTTACTAAGTATGATGACAACACATTACTTGTATACATACAGGGCAAAGGAATACATTCTTATGACATGTCAAAGGACGAATTTAAGTCACTTAATATACAAATTCCTTCTTTTGTCCCACATTCTGACGAAATTTGTGCTCAAAATAACCGTCTTTTTCATACCAACCGATCTAGTGGCTCCGTATTCTGTTATGAAATAAACGGTAGTATGTTGTGGAAATTTGAACGCGATTTAAAAAGGCCTACGGCGTTGACAAGCGATACATTTGGTAATGTTTATGTTACCGATTATACGTCTCATCATCTATACTTCATTTCAGCCGACGGTCAGTCACACAAAACGCTATTGAGTAGGAAAGACAAGCTATGGCTTCCAACTTTTGTATATTTTTGTGTGAAAAGAAATTGTTTATTAATAGTTAATAGGGACAACGGGTATGCTGCAAGTTACAGTATTAAGTATGAAAAATAGTACACAGAATTGTAAATCATATTTTGCAATTCTTTAACTCAAACATTGTATTTATTCATTTAGTATATGTCTATTTGTTATTTGTTTCTGTTTTGTTTTATAATAAATGGTTAGCTTTGACTATAGAATCTATTTGTAAATGAACATCACAAGATTAGATAAACATTTATAAATTTGATGCGTTTGCCGCAATTTAACAAATAAGGAGATGTACGAATTTCTGTTATAGAAACTGCCCGCCAGTTAACGAAAAAAAAAACCCATCTATATATAACTGTTCGGCCTGACATAATAAGTAATGTGCATACCTTTATGAATATTGTAATCCTATTGTACAGTTGAAAAAAAAAAACACTGTATAATTTAAAAAAAATACATAATGACTTAAACCATGTACTTAAATATCATAAGATGAAAAACAAATATAACAGATAGATAATGATTGAAAAAATCGTTTGTCTAGCTTAATAAATGATATAAACACTTCTTTCCTTGATGGTGTCTTACTCTTGCTTTTTACTGACTGTTTCTGAAGAATGGCTTGAACAAGAACAGAAAATGTGTACCTTTGATGGATAGAGCAAATGATATTATGTGATTCAAAATAGTAATAACAAAAACACCAGACTTTCTAGGTTAATTCAAAAATGGGGAAAGTCTCCAAAACCATGCAAAATAAACGCTTGATTATATCAATCAACGAAACGAATAGAAAACAACTGTCGTAAAAAAAAAGTCATCAAAGATACCCGCAAGACATGCGTTTCGTCGACAACAGAATAAAATTAAGTAAAGGGCCAAAAAATGTATAGTGTTTAAAATGTTTTGGGGCTAATTTCTCCTAATATCACATGGGATAGGAGTGCAACAGCACATTGATTACGTATTATAGTGTTCTTTTATTTGTCTTTGTATATTATTAAACTTTACTGTTCAGTTCATTTTTGGTAATATCCTTTTGGCGTGGCTCGGTTTTTATACATCCCGCCATTGTGTTATTGTGTTATGGTATTTTTTTGTATTCTTGTCTTTTATTTTTGCTTTTGTGCTTTGTCTATATGCCATTTTGCTTTTCTTTGTTGACATAGTTGTTTGTTTTTGTAGTGATTAAGACTATAACACAATGTTGACTGTTGTACCACAATTTTTGACATTTTTACCAATTATAAAATTGAGAATGGAAATGGGAAATATGTCAAAGAGACAACAACCCGACCAAAGAGCAGACAACAGCCGAAAGCCACCAATGGGTCGTCAATGCAGCGAGAAAAATCCCGCACCCGGAGGTGGTCCTCAGCTGGCCCCCAACTAAAATTGCGTGCTAGTTCAGTGAAAATGGACGTCACACTAAACTCCAAAACATATAAATGAACTAAAATTAAAAAACATACTAGACTAACAAAGGCCAGAGGCTCCTGACTTGGGACAGGCACAAAAATGCGGCGGGGTTAAACATGTTTTGTGAGATCTCAACCCTCCCCCTATACCTCTAGCCAATGTAGAATAAAGAAACACATAGCAATACGCACAGTAAAACTCAGTTTAAAAGAAGTCCGAGTCCGATGTCAGAATAGGTAACAAAAGAAACTAAGCAAAATGACGATGATGTTTGTTTGTTTTGTTCACACATTGTTGTAAATATAATGCCATGCAAGTGAGAGGTTCGGCTAGCTATAAAACCATGTTTAAACCACCATTTTCTACACAAGGAAATGCCTGTACCTAGTCAGGAATATGAGAGTTGTTTTCCATTTGTTTGATGTGTTTGAGCTTTTGATTTTGCTATTTGATAAGGGACTCTCCGATTTGAATTTTCCTTGGAGTTCGGTATTTTTGTTATTTTACTTTTCACAAGAACAAATTGTACAGAACAATAAACGCAACACAAATATTATATACAGCAACAACAGACAACCACTGATTTACAGGTTCCTGACTTGTGACAGGCACATTCAAAATATGGCTAGGTTAAACATATTGACGGGCGCCCAGATAGTCCGGGGACACAGTTATCGTCCTTTGACTTTCGTTGTCTACGAATATAGTCCCTTGTATGGACAGTGTATAACTTACAAATTTTTTTCATACACCTTCCAAAATCATTTCTTGATATTTTATGCATAAAATATTAAGTAGTGGGATGAAATTACATGTAAAAAAAATTGAGGCATGAATATTTAGGTAAAGTAGCGATTTGGTCCAGTTTGAAAAGGTAAAAAATTAGTATGTCTGAAGCTGTCAAACTGAATTACAGATCCCCTTAGCATAAAATTATCCATATTTATAAATATAAATGAGTTAGAGTCGATAGACGTTTTGATATAATTTGTCCCAACAGTAGTACACTACAATGTAATTTTTTTTTTAATTTGCGTTTTTGTCTAAAAGAAATGCACTACGTAATAACTGTGTTCTCGGGCCAGATCTCCTTTTACCTGGGACAGCTGTATGACAGCACAACATAAGATAAACATATACAAATCAGTTTGACCAATCAAATCGATAAAAAGCACAATAAACAACTAACAAAAACACTGAAGAAACAGAGTACAGATCTGAGAGTACTCGCTAGTTCCAAGTCATTAACAACTAACTATTTAACAAAAAATTATGAATCCAATACAAATATTCATTCAACATACATCTATAAGATTTGATTTAAAGACGTCATAAACTTTCTAGGAAAACAAGATCGTGTGCATTACCAAAATATAAGTATCAAAAGAATACAGAACCGTAAGACTTTAAAACTGTTTAGCAACACATATTTAGTTATCTTTTAATTTATTGATAAACTCAATGTTAGAATCGATGAAAGCAATACTATAAGATCTAAATACAATGTTATATTGATATCCATTGAGAGTATGTTTATTCAAAGGATAGATGAGCTTACATAAGAATGACTATATCTAATAAAATAAGTAGGTAGCTTTAGTTCTTGGTGTTTACGTATGTTTTCGTCAATGTTTTTATATAAAAATGCAAATAAGATAATTTATAAACATTTATTATTTTTTAAAATATGTAAAAGGTCTGATCGTGGTTATTTTTTTTAAATTTACAGTAAATATAGTGTTTACGCCGATTATGAATGTACAAATTATTTGTACAGCAACGACATAGGAGAGAGTTAGGAAAAATAGTAAAAGATCACACCTCGTTTGTGAAATACTTGCATGAATACCGGTTAACGGGAATATAGTGATCAGAAATCGTCGGGAAATGTCGATAAATTATTACACTAGAATACAGTCTGTACAACATTTATCAATGTCGCTTACAAGTAATTTAAGGTGTGACCTAATAGATAAACCTTGAATATTGAATCCATCGTTCCTAGAGAGATAACTATTTTTGTGCATTTTTTGCCGTTTAGATAACCTTATCAACTGATTTCCTTGTCATCAATCTATAAAGAGTTATTTGACAATAAGGTAAAAGGTAAGGATTACAGTTTGTGTTATGGTTATTGATAGATTGAGGAAACAAAAAACAAAACAAAAACTAAAACCATCGTATTGCATTCCTTCAGGAAGATAGATTTTAACGAAAGCCGAGAATTTTTTTATGTTATTATAGCTATATACTGATGGAATCTTTATGCCAAAAAAAAAAAAAAAAAAACAAACGCAAAAAAAAACGAAACAACCCCCTGAAAAAATGATATTAAGACGAATGGTACTAGATAAAATATATGGTACGGGAATCGACAGTAGTTCTAAGCCATTTAGACAAGTCATGGAGGAAAATTTGAGATATATTTAGATAATCAAAAGTTTGACGTATACAAATGTTTTGTTATGACAAACACAAAACAAACATTAACCTAGGAGAGCTTGCCAACTATTCAAAACAAGACGATAAAATGCACTAATAATAGCCCAATGTGTGCTTATTCGTCACAGTCCCTATATATCAGTTTGTATATATCTCCCAATTGATACGATATTCCCGGGCTTGTGTTTCCTATCATGATTTCCTTGATAGAGGATTGCTGCTCACAAGGAAGCTATTAAACCAAGAGTTCCAAATGGTGAAGTTGAAGTCATCCCTTCGTAAATTTTACGGACGCCATCACGAGTTGGTTGACCGTTATGGAATAACCGTTTCACAGATGATATCGGATATGTTCCTTATGTCGTAACTACAATACCCTTCCCTTTTCACGAATGTGACTTACCGAATTAGACTATTTACCGGATTTGTAATAACATAAGCAACTCGACGGGTGCCACATGTGGAGCAGGATCTGCTTACCCTTCCGGAGCACCTGAGATCACCCCCAGTTTTTGGTGGGGTTCGTGTTGCTTAGTCTTTAGTTTTCTATGTTGTGTCATCTGTACTATTATTTGTCTGTTTGTCTTTTTATTTTTGGCCATGACGTTGTCAGTTTGTTTTCGATCTATGAGTTTGACTGTCCCTATGGTATCTTTCGTCCCTCTTTGATAACTTCCAGGAACAGACATGTAAATTGTTGTTCCTTTGCTCTTGGCCAGAACTAGTGACATGCTGAAAAAAGACAGACTCGTTTATTGACATGTGGTGTTTTATTTTTCAGTTCGATTGACTTGTTCTTAAAATGCTTCCCTTTAAGTGGTTAATGTCATCTGTTTTTATTTCCAATTTAACTTGCTCCAATTAGATCATCAGTAATATCCCGGAAAAGTCATCTGATTTGTAAATGTACTGATTTTGATTGCGACATTTTGACAGAGTCTGGATTTGAAAGGCTTGTTATGCATGCATAGCAAGAGACTCTTGAGGCACTGACGGGTTTCCAATTTTTGAGTTCATGAAATTTGTTCTGTTGTTTGGACTTAGTTAGTATATTCTAAAAGTAAAGTTCTGTTGCATCTCATCTTATTACTTGTTTTATATGAGATCAATAATAGAACAAATTACAATAAGTAACTCAGTAAAGATCACTTCTCTTTGAAAGATAAGAAAAACTGAAGAAACAAAATGAATTTATAAATCATAGATGTACACACAATACTATGAAAAAAAGAGGAAGGGTAAACATTTCCTATTCTACTAGGGACAGCCCTCTGTTTCCTCATGATAATATCTGATTATAAGTTAGAATTGTTGGTGAAGGATCGTACCAAAGCGAGTTG